ATATAAAGTCTATCTGTAGCAGGAATGATGCATAAGGATTTCACTAACGCTCATTTTGTGATGAGTACAAATTTCATTTTGCATTATTATTTCATGATTAAAATGATCAAAGTATATCACAGAATAAACTTTCATTCAGATATTTTATATTTCTGCCTTTCAGTTCTCTGTTATGTTTTAAAACAATACATATATTGTTTTTTTAAATTTTTCTCTTTCATGGACACCATGTTATTTAGAGGCTTGTTTAGAGACTAAGTTAATGGCCTTTTAAGCTTCCTTCACGTGAATTGCAAAGAAATCTTGAATATGTAACAATCAAATATTAAGGGGAGCACAAGAATTTTAAAAATATCAAAGTGGGGTATGGCCCCAAATTATTTGGGAACCACTGCCCTTGACGTAATCTCTTCAAGATCATAATGTTCATGGAATCATCCATGTGGCAGTCTCTTCCACAAAGTATCGATTCTCTGGAAGAAGCATTCTGGGTGTAAGATACTTCTTACCAATGGAATATGTAAGGAATGATGGTGATGTTCGCTGTAAAGATCTGTGCTGACGGCATTATTTCATGATTAAAATGATCAAAGTATATTACAGAATAAGCTTTCATTCAAATATTTATATTTCTGTCCTTCACTTCTCTATTATATGTTTTGAAACATATATATATATATTTAACTGTCTTTTTTAATTTTTCTCTTTCATGGACGCAATGGTCTTTAGAGGCTTGTTTAGAGACCAAGTTTTTTTTTAAGCTTCCTTCACATGAATTGCAGTCGCATTTTTAATATGTAACAATTAAATATTACAGGGCGGGGCACCAGAATTTTAGAAATACCAAAGTGGGACATGTCACAAAATCCGTTGGGAACTACTGAGATATATATATATATATATATATATATATATATATATATATGTCACACATTGAGTGTTGTTGCTAATAAAATAGTGCTTAATTTATAATAACAGAGCTATAATTTAAAAATAATAATAAATATTTTTTCCTCACTGTTAACACAACTCTGAGTTTCATGCACAACACAATCATCAGGTGCTGTATGAAAACAGTTTTCAACTTGCACTGAATGACAGCATATTGTTACTAGTGAAGAAAAAAAGTATATTTATTATTTATTTATATATATATATATACATATATATGGACTGTCATTGCAAACGAGGCACAGTAAAATAAAGAGGTGGTCAACTGCTATGGACATGCATGTGTCTCTCAAGCCTGCAAGTGTTTTGAAAACTTTTTGATAAGTGGAACATGTGGCAGACCCATTTTGCTCTTGTGGTTGAGGATCAATTTCCACATATTTCCATGAATGGACAGCAAGACCTGCTTTAAAGCCACTGAGGCAGGTAAGGCTATCATTGATAGGAGCTGCATGCTGCCAACTTTATTTAATATTTGAACCCAAATTCAAGTCAGCCTTACTCAAACCTTTGTATAAATGAGAAGCCAGACAGGCACCAGCTCTTCACTCTGATGCTTTGTTTTCCCAGTAAGAATAGTGGTTACTGCATCAATTCAGATTGTCTTTGTGTTTATCTTTGTAATGCAAGAATGGCCTTCTAACTCACCTGCTTGTTTGAAGTTGACCAAAGAGAAGTTGTTTTGAAAGTCTGCTATCGCCCATACACGAAAGATGTCCTGACAACTTGAGTTGGATTTTCATTAAGATGGCTTCAATACCTGTCATGTTGTATTTAGTCAGAACTTCATTGTTTCTAATCTGAGCACACAGAAAAAGGGATTGCTTCTGATTGTCTTTGAGTTTGTCTTTGTAACTCAAGAGTGGCCTTCCAACTCACCTGCGTGTGTTTCTAATAAGATCACCCAGTTTTCTGTTGCAGATCGTATGTAGGCCACATACATGTGAAAAGCATTGTGTTGATTGATGTTTTATCAGTACAGAACCCAGGATTCTGCGCCATAGAGTAGGGATGCCAGTATTACTGACTTCTACACATCAATTTGCACCTTTAACAAAGCATCACAAGAATTCCAAAGCCTGTGATAATGATTACTGAAGACAGAACTAGCTTTCCAATCTTTCACTTAATTCATTTGGCCATATTAGCATTGTTGGATACAATGGTGCCAAGAGAGGTGAAAGAAGAAACAGCCTTCAAGAGTTTCCAATCAATGTAAACAGTGAGATCAACTGATGCAGTCACCACATAAATAAAATATAAAAAATTTACAGGAAGAAATTGTCATCCAAACTAAGGCAAAACAAAAGCAAAGTGCTTAATAAAATGGCCAAATATTTATTACTGGCAACAATCAACAAATTTTTGGCTCTTTTTTTTTAAGAACTTTGCCTTTGTTTTGTCTCAGTTTGAATGTCATGTCAATTTCTTCCTGTATATATTTTATTTACGTGGCAACTTCTCCATGGTTCGCTACAAAGTGGTGATCCCGACATGATAAAACTACTGTCAGTCAAGGGAGCTAATCCACTTTCAGTTGTCAAACTTCTTGATGCAACACAATACCTGTGGAATGGTTATAAATAGGCTGATGGACAAGTTCTGCATTTTTTTCTGGTGGTCAGACTGAAAGCGTTAGATTCATAAAAGAATTTGTTAAGGATCCATTCCATATCACTACTTTTCCAAAACTCAAATCTTACACCTTTAACATTTTCAAATGTCATTTCCAACATGATATAAAATACAAAGCAAATAAGAGGTGCAAGAACACAATCATATTTTTTCCATTAGAGACTATGAATGGGTCAGACACTTCTCCAATGGATCTAACTGAGGTCCACATCCTCTGATGGAAAGACATGATGACACTGTGCACTCTTTCAAAAAGAACTCAACTTGACAAGTATGACCCAAAGAGCATCCCTTGAAATAATATCAAATGCTTTAGTGAGATTGACGAAAGCAACAAAGAGATTCTTGTCACGCTCTTGTGCTTTCTCCTGTAGTATGCTTAAATTGAAAATAATGTCCACAGTTCTTCTGCTAGGCTGAAAGCCACACTGAGATTCAGACAAAACTGAATCAACCAGAGAAGAGTTGAGTTTGTTTAAGATGATCCTGCAAACAAGGGAGATACCTCTATGTTTGTCACAGTCCCATTTATTGTCTTTGTGCTTATAAAGATGGACAATAGAAGCATCTTTAAACTCCTGAGAAACTGATCCTGAATCCCAGATTAATAAAAAGAGATCAGAAACCTTACAAACCAGATTACTGCCACATTTGTATATCTCTGCCATTATGCCATCATTACAAGAGGACCTCCCATTTATCATTTCTTTTTGGCCTTATATACTTAACAAATACATACATACACACACACACACACACACATTCGTAATTATAATTTCTGCAATTGATTTTCACAAATAACTTTTTTTTGTGATTTATGCATTAAATTTTAAATTCATCATAGAAGTGAAATGTGTTTTTGGTGTTGGGTCAGGATGGGTGTTGTAAGGATTTTATTTTGCGAAATTTGCCTTGATAAAGTCCATCAGAGGATGAAACACATCAGTTTTTTTTTCATTATTCATTTTGTCCTTTAATAGATATATATTTTAGTGATATAACTGCTCTCCCCGCTCTCTCACACACACGCACACACACACACACACACACACACACACATATATATATATATATATATATATATATATATATATATATACATGATAAAAATATACATATACTTACACATACATATATACTTTTTCTCAGGTGTTATAAAAACATGAAACTCTGAGTTGTGCTATCGATGTTAAAGTTTGTGGCTCGGCTCCTGGAAGGTTTATAGTCTTGGAAATACTTGTAACAGCTAAGTACTGAGGTTACATCATATAAAAGGCTGAATAAGATAGATAGCTAATATTATAGTGTAATAACTCAACATATAAATCCACATCCCTATCAGTCAAGTCAATTAGGTGACCATCCAAGCTTACTTGAGCTTGGGCATTGCCTTACATTCATCTTTGAAGGCATGCACATATTTTTTAGGAAAAAAAGTGCATCATAAGCTGGAAAATACATGGTATATATATATGTATGTGTGTGTGTGTGTGTGTGTACACACACATATATATATAAGAATTCATACATAATATTATTTTTACATAGACTAGATTTTTAAGTTGCTGAATTATTTTTAAGAATTAGATGTTGACTTTTTTGCAATAAATGCTAAATTTAAGATATTAGGATCAATAACTTTTATATATTTTCAGTTTATTTATTTATATATATATATATATATATATATATATATATATATGTAAAATATTATATTATCAATAGCCTTTTTGGTGTTATTTATAATTCAGATGCATCTGTTTACAATAAAACAATTTAATATAATTCTTATTATTATTAATTCATTAATCTAATAATTTAAAAAAGCTTAAAGAAACGTTTGAAAGTAACTTTGTTATATAATCCACTTATGAACTGAGCATTAAATATATGTTCTTTTTCTTTTGCTTACCAACCCTTTGCGGGTTATTTAAAGCCAGAAAATATTTTTAGTTTGTCAGAATTTTTTCTTGTTTTGTTATCTTTTATTACATAATAGCAGGAATATAAAGTGAGGGATAAATTTTATGTTACAATCAGTATATAAACTGATCCCTGATTTTGTGGCCATGGTAGTTTCTATATATTTATATTCCAGAGAATGTAAATTAATCTAAATGACATGCCTCTGTAGCTAACAATATTTCATTCATGATTGATTCATTCATTTTCTACACTTTGCAGGTTATTTAAAGCCAGAAAATATGTTTAGATGGTTAGAATTTTTTTTTTTGACAATGATAATGATTTAGTGATACAGGTCTTACAAATTAACCCATAGCTGGGGGAGAAGTGGATTCATACCTTTCCCAATGGTATTTGCACGGAAGTGAATGTAATGAATTGAATTGAAATTTGGATCTCTGATTAACAATTCCGAGCCATTATCCATTGCACCACTTGCACATCCAAACTTACAGCACATGGTATTCCCAAGCAGTCACCCATCTAGGTACTGACAAGGTTTGATGTTGCTTAACTTTGGTGATCATATGAGAACCAGTGTTTCAACATATGGCTGTAAGCCTTGATAGAAAGTGGAATGCTAAAAACAAAAACAAAAAACAGTTTAATAAAATTTTGAATACTGATCCTTCCTTAGGGAGAGAGTTCAGTAGAACTATTATAGGGACATTTTACCGGGTTGCATATTATAGGGACATTTTACCGGGTTGCATGTTATAGGGACATTTTACCGGGTTGCATATTACAGGGACATTTTACCGGGTTGCATATTATAGGGACATTTTACCAGGTTGCCTATTATAGAGAGATTTGACTGTTTCCTATTATTGAAACATTTGACGCCATTGCCTATTATAGGGACATTTTATTCCATATTATTGGGACATTTTCCTTTATCACTAATGATTGGGTCATTTCCAATCTGCTAAGCAATGATTTTCTGCAAAAAAGAACATAAAGAATTAATTAATTCTTTTAAGATCTTTTTAAGTATGATACCCCCAAGCAAGGCTATAAAGCTGCTAAGACACAAAGGGTTACAAGGTGTGGAAGAATTAGGAATAGAAACATTAGTAATGAGTGGAAAGAGAAAAGAGTAATCGGGAGGAAAGTAGATAGCAATTGACATTGCATTTAAATATTTGAAAATTAAAGTTGGCTGGAAAGCATGGGGCCAGAAGGGAGTTCCACAAGCAAGAAGTGTGAGAAAAGAAACTGTTAGCATAGAATTTATGGTTATATCTATCCAACACAACTGTCAATTGGTGAGACCACCTCACTAGTCTAGTACAGTGCTTAAATTGTAAAAATCTAGGTACCATAGTGAAGAGCTCATCCAAACAATTACCATGAAAGTATTTATAGAAAAGGCACAGGGAGGCAACCTTACAGGGGTGGGAAAGTGACTGAAGCCAAGATTCCCAATTATGACCAATAATATTACTAAATTTTCTTTGGATTTTATCAAGGATCTCTAGATATAAAGCAAGAACTTATGACAAATTGGCAGGAATATTCTAAGCATGGACAAATGGTAGACTTATAGATATGCAGGATAGATTCAGGAGAGAAAAATTGTCTGGCACAACATGGTAAACCAATTTTCATAATTAAAAAGAACTGATTCAGTTAATGAATTAAATTTTTTAAAATTGATACTGAATTTTTCTGGTCCATTTATATTTGATTTTCGTCATTGCTAAATTTCTCCCACCTGAATGTTTTACAATTAACTGTTGGATGTGCAGCTGGTGTAATGAATAGTGGCTTGGATTGAGAATTCAGAGAGCTGAGTTCAAATTCCAGTTTAGTTCATTCTATTCATTTACATGCAAATACCATTGGAAAAGGTATGAATCTATTACCTCCTCCAGATATGGATTAAATAAGACTTTAATCTGAAGTATCTGAGAAGAATTGTTAAGGCAATATTCAGTATCTGCATATATTTCTGAGATGAGGTATTGTAATTATTGATATTATTTACATTGTTCAAACTGTTGTTCTCATCTTTATTATCATATTCACAACGTTTCAGCCATTGTACGCTCCAGCCTTCTTCAATATGTCTATATTTCTGAGATGACGGATTGTAATTATTTACAGTGTTTGGGCTGTTGTCCTCATCTTTATTGCCATATTCACAACCTGCTTCAGTTAATTAGAATTTCGAACTGAACCCTTTATTGCATCCACTAGGGTAGATTGTTCTAGTTCCACATACCATGCCTCTTCAGGATGTCTCGGTCACCTTTCCAAGTTTTTGTTCACTACTGCAGTAGCCAAGTATTGAACTCACAACTCTTTGGGTTGAGTCACTGAACCCAGCTGACACTTTTATTCACTGGGTCATGTGTCCAGGACATTAGAAGAGGAATGGTACGTGGAACTAGAACAATATACCACAGTGGACAAAATAAATGGTCCAGTTTGAAATTCCAGTCACTTAAAGAAGGGCAGAGCATACCATGGCTGAAATATTGTGAATATACAATAAAGATGAGGACAATAGTCCAAACAATGTAAATAATGTAAATTCAATGTTCACTTTGCAAAAAAAAATATTCTTATAATCCAAAATATATTTTGGTATTTAAATAACTCACAACAGGTTGATAAACCATGAACAATCAGATCAATTAGTAAGTTAAAATCAATGGTTTAAAGACCAATGAATGTTATCAAGAACATTCTTAAAATGTAAAATAATAACTCTTTGGGTTAACTCACTTTTTGGATTACTCAACTGACACTTTTATCCACTGAACCATGTGAGTTCAATACCTGGCCGCAGCTGAAGAAACAAAATCTTGGAGAATTAAATTACTAAAGAGAAATAACTGAAACTAAGATAGCCAAAAAAGGCATGGCACATGAAATTAGAACAATCTACCGCCAGGGACTAAATAAAGGGTTCAGTTCAAAATTCCAATGTATATCACCTGAAGAAGGTCAGAATATACAATGTCTAAAACATTATGAATATGGCAATAAAGATGAGGACAACTGATGCAAATATTTTAAATTTTTTCTTTTTCTCATATTCTTTCACCTCTTGCATCTTAGTGACTTTATTACCTTTCTTGAGGTGAAATGATAAAAAAAAACAATTATTAGGTTACTTTATTTCTTTATTTCTTAAGTAGGTCTACCTGTCAGCTGGTCTATAATCTTCCCTCACTTTTTTGAACAATAGTAGAGCTTTATCCTTTTTTTTTTTTTTTTTTTTTTTTTTTTTTTTTTGCTGTCTAGGATTCCAATTCCTCCTGCTGAGGTCTTGATAAGGATGTTTTATTCCAAGAGTTTCTTTTCTCAGGCTTCTGATTTCTTGCTTCCCTGCCATCTACTATCTTTAAAAATTTAAATGCAACTCCAATCACCATTTCTATTTTCCTGAATCCTGTTCTTTTTTTTTTTTTTTAATCTTTCTTTTCACTTCAATCTTTTCATTCTCTTTCACTCCAGTAACCCCATGCATCCTCATGGCATTATTGACTTGCTTAGAGTGAAGGGATTAAAAAAAAAAAAATTTAATAAAATTTAAAGTTCTTATCTATCAACTTCATCATTGGTTTGGTTTGGTTTGGTTTGGTTTATTTTGTTTTACAACATATCAATCTCAATGGGTTATTTAATGCTGACAAGATTTTTAAAAATATGATCGTATGAATAGAAAATGTATTAATTGTAAGTGGGGGATCATTTTTCTATTGTTATTAAGTAGCACAATTGATACCCTATTACTAATATATTTTAATATGTAAAAATGTATTTAAAGACAAACTTTGTTTGGTTTGGTTTATGGCATATCAAATTCAATGGGTTATTTAAGGCCAAAAAGATTTTTATTGCTGGTAATATTTTTTTAAAAAATATATTGCTGGTATTAAAACCTATTTTTACACTTTCATAATGCTTTGACCCCAGTTTGGGGGTTAATCATTTACACATAGCTGGGAACACCAGCAGTTAAAAGGTGGTTCCACACTTCTCAAAACCTCCTGATCAGAGACCTTGCTGCCGGATGTAGTTTATCTTCTTAACTAGGATGGTTCATCATTGCAATATCAATATTTTCTAAAATTCTCCATCTTGAAGGTTTTATCATTAACTTAGCTATTAAGTTAATATTAAACTAAAAACCATTTGAAGATATTTCTTGTTTCTTGTCTTCATGAATGAAACAAGTTGTGCGATTGTTTAATTTGACATTGAAGAATTTCTCTAGTTAAAGAGTGGTTAATTCATATCCTATTACAAACTGCGACTGATGCAGGCATATCAGAAATGCCATACTCGACTGGCACCTGAGAGAGGGAGCCAAAATGCAACTTTTGAATGTGTAGTGTTAGAATTAGAAAGGCAAATCAAAAGACAGAATGAAAGGAATGACGACCAAAGAATTAATCTGAAAACTGAGAGTGCAATTGGTGATAAGGAATATAATTATAATTGAATTACAGTATTTAGCGCTTGTCTGGCCGAGAGAATTGAGAAACAATGGCCAAATCCAGTTGCTTGCCAAGACAATTGATTTGTTTTCATGGGAATATACAATATCGTTCCAGAAATTGATCAGAGATCAAGTTTATAGCTGAACATAATAACAAATCTCTTATTATTAGGAGGTGGGGACTCAATAGATATATATTTTCGCAGACATATATATATATATACACACTAGTATGTAAATGTATGTATGTCTACATAAGTGTAAATGCCGTATTATGACTTTATGTATGTGTATATTAAACATCTCTCTCCTACTATCAACCTCACCTTATTTAACAGTGGAAATGGACTGTTAAAAGTTTTTTAAAAAAATAGAAAGATGCTCATGCCATTTCCAGCTGTATTCAACACATGAAGGTGTGGAATAAATGCTCCTACCAAAACAGCACAAAAATAAACTACAACTTAAACAGTCAAAACATGAAGAAAAACTAACAACACCAAAAAAATAAATCCCTTGAATAAATCCCTTGAAAATGGCTGAAGAAGTGGCCGAAAGTGCTTGGGACAATGAAAATTATGGAAAATTTCTGTGCGCCCTTATTCCTACAAAAATGTAAGGATGCTGGAAGAATGAAATAAAAAATGAATTAAATCTTCCTTTCTGCATTATTTTATGAAAGATGTTTAAAGGAAAGGTTGTTACACAAATATAAATTAATATATATATATATATATATATATATATAGGATTAATACAAATAAAAAATTTGTCACTGAGCTTGTTGATGTCATTTTCAGAATCTTGACTCTAGATTTTTATAGGTGGACCCTCCAGTAATCACTCTGTCCACTTGTCAGGAGATATCAGCAATTGTTTATTTTCACATTTTTCATCACTTTTATATTGAGTTAAAAAATTGTTGTGGAGTAAAGCGTATACCCCCCAGGGACTCTATGAACTCATCCAATACTATAAAGAGTTCCATGGTATGAAGTCATTATTAGTGATATATGGTTCAAAGAAAGGTTTACCTACCCATACAGCTAACAGATTAAAGCACTGGGGTACCATCCTGTTAAACTGTCTGAAAAT